AACTATCATCATTTTCTTCCAAATTGTTAACATTGGCTTGAGCTATAAAATGGGGGACTGTGCATGGGAATTATTACTACTCTTACTCAACTTGGGTTTATTCTTACACTTAGAAGATGTTTTATTATTACTAGAGATACAGCTGAGGAAACAGAAAAAAGAAGCAGGTGAGGGTGATCTGGAAAAAATTACCTTCATTCTACAGTATTTTTGAATATGACCTGGACGGCCACATTTATAACACTTGAGCCCTTTAATCTGCTTAAATTTGGGTTCACAGTGAGTACTTTGAACTTCTATAGTCTTATTGGAGTTTTCCCTATCCATCTCTCTCTTAAATTAAGACGCGTTTCCTCTGCTAGAAATTTCAAGTTCAACATTTTTAAAAATGAACTTTTCATTCTGGGCCACCTCAAAATATTCTGAACTACTTGATCAAATTTATCTGGAAGGAACCTAAGAAACTGGAAACATATATATAGTCTCTTACAGCCTGATTAATATCAGCTAACTGTTCAGTTAGCGTTTTAATCTGAAGAAAAGAAACTAAGAAAACTAATACTTTCATTTGGCTTGATTTTGCAATTTAAGAACTCTGAAAACAGGGACATATTGTCCTTGACCGATAATCTGGCTGGAAATATTTGGGCAAGCGTATTCCATGCCACTACCGGGTCATCAATTTCACATATCAAGTTTCTATATTCAGGGCTTACATTCATATAAATTTTAACGATAATGCCAATCGACTTCTATTTTGATAGTCGGCAATAATTTCTTTTGTAATACCCTTAACATCATCCAAATCAGGACATTTCTCAAAACCTTTGACCAAAACCAAAAGCCATGCATTTTTTTTTCATCAAGACAAACTTCATATCTTTTGGACCATGTAAAATAATTACATGCATCAAGTTTAGCAATATTATGCATGACACTAACAGTAGCCATATTTGAATTTTAACAAAAATCGCCCCCAATCTCTTAAGTCCTAAATTAACTTTAAACTTCAAAAGTCTGCACTAAAAATAACTCATAAGCTACTGGGCCCATAACCAAAATGATGCTAAAGCAAAGTTTAAAGTTTAAAGAAATTAAACATTTAGCAGTGGTAGCAATGAAAGCTCCGAGTTATGTTGTGCAGACATTGAAGACAATAAAAGATTTTTGAACTTAACCAATTTATTAACAATATAATAAAAAAATAAAAACACATAAAATAAATGTCAACAATATTAGAGTATTAGGGGAAACAAAAAAAAACAACAACATAAACATCATTCATCAAATATTTTTACCTGTACTCCAAAACACTGGCATTCTATACAAACAAAAACAAAAAAAATGAAGATGTCCTAAATAGTGACTATGCAGCCTAAAAATAAAGCCGGCTACCCATTCAATAAGTCCATAAACAATGGTCAAGAAAACACCTGAAATATTTAAATTTGAAACCACTTAAAACCGGCCTAACTTCGTTTGCACAAGGAGTCGTCGCCGCTCACGTATTTTTAATTCTGCCCTCATTAAAGTAACATGGATGCCGCCCACGGCATTTACTCACAGGACAGCCTCGACGGAATTTAATCTTCATCTGGAACCATCAAAACCGGAATCAAGGCATTCTTTCACCGGACTGCATGCATCCTTTGAAGGGGCTAGAAACCGTTCACTCACCAGCCGGGAAACCAGGAACTAAAAGGGTTGAGCTAGAGCGACGCGAGATACTTATAGCAGAAGTAGGAATGACGTCATCGCACGGCAACCAATCAGCTATCGGCACGAATCGGCTTTTCAGATGACGTAAATCATGTTTCGTTTTTGCATCTCAATTAGGTTGAAACAGTCCCTTCTCAATGCAAACAGTGGCAGCAAGAAAAGAAGTAGAAGTAACTACTATATTATATTAAAATAAGGACTAAACTAAATAAACATTTCAAGGAGGAGAGATGATGCATTAAAAGGTTTAAAAAATAAGCTATATTTTCCAACATGTCCCCCCTTGCCCCACCCTAGCTACGCCACTGGCGGTACGCTTCGGATATACAGTACATGTACACATACGTGGTATACTTGGCATGTTTGACTTACTGTTCGTAGAGTTTGCTTGTTCAGCGCTATAGTCGCGTTATCTGAGGAGACATTTCTCAAAAGCCATGCAGGCCTTGCACTAAGTATTCGACTGCACAAAGGTCAGTGCCGTATCAGGCAAAAAAATTCATGATTTTAATGATCTGTCAACACAGGTGCTTCTGCTTGATCATGGATTTACAGAAGGCCTGTGTATTAACAGTTGGAATACATATGTGCAGTTTGCTGGTAAGTGGGCAGGTTGAGAACCACTGCGTCCGCAATGCACGAAGAAACACGTCTAGGCATAGAGTCAATAAGATCGCGGATGGTGTCCTGAGGGATGGCTCTCCCTTTAAATCATTTGCCACAGTTCATCTTCTGAATGAGGCAGGGGCAGAAACTGCAAACGGCGTCCAATCACATCCCACACATGTTCGATTGGTGACAGGTCAGCAGAGTACGGTGGCCAGTGAAGCATTTGTATACCTTGCACAGCAAGTTGGCAGATGTGAGCACAGTGTGGTCGGGCGTTATCCTGCTGAAAAATTGCATTACGCAGCCCCTGAAGGTAAGGAATTGCCACCGGCCGCAGTACATTATCCAAGCATCGTTGGGCCGTCATAGTGCCCTGAATACGAACTAGAGGTCACCTGGAATCATACGCAATAGCGCCCCAAACCATTATGCCATGTTGTCGCGTGGTGGAGCATTCCACAGTTACTGCCGGATTAGATCTGTCTCCACGTCAACGACACACGTATGCGGCGACTGTCACTGGATCAACAGAAGCGTGACTCATCTGAGAACACGATGTTTCGCCATTCTGTCATCCACATCGCTCCAGTCCAGCACCAGTCTAAACGTTGGTATCTATGCTAAGGGGTCAATGGCAGACTTCTTAACGGACACCACGAGTGCAGGCCACGTTCAACCAATCGATGAGAAATGGTTCTGGTTGACACGGGAACATCCAGGGTATTTTGCACATGCTGCAGAATCTCAGTACAAGTGACCTGCGGGACCGCCACAGTTTGTTGGTGGATGCGCCGATCAACGCATGCTGACGTCACTCTGGATGCACCTGCACCCCTCCTTCTTCACACATTTCCTTTTTCCAGCCATGTTCACCATAGCCGATGCACCGTGCTCGCATCCATGTGGGTATCAGCTGTGATTTGACATAAAGACCAATGTGCCCTTCTTAGTCCAATCACCATACCCCTCGTAAAATCGCTATCTGCTGGAAGTGCCTTCGTTGATGGCGGCCTGTCATTCTCTCCTATTACACGTATCCTCCGGGAGAAAAAACAACTTTCTTCGATAATTCGTCTGGCAGAAATAACACAACGAATATTGCCCATTCTGCACGTTCTTTCCCTTATATCTTACTTTACGTGCGTCGGAGAGCTGCGCCTTTCACTTTATTCACATAACTCAGTGACGTGCGTCTACTCTAAAATTTGCTCTGACCACTCCTACTTCTGTTGCATTTTCAATGACGAGCAGTGTATTATTATAAAAGCCTGGAAACACAGCAATATCTATAAGAATTAATAAAAATATTGCTTGCTGCAACTTGTAAAGACATTGCGCTTTACAAACATCATGATTCAATATAAATTATTGTAATTCAGGTTTGTTGCAACCCAACAATTTTAAATGACGATGATTACATCACATAGAAATTCAAGTGAATTAAATGCAATCTCACACAATCGAATATATCAAAACATCTCAAAAGAAAAGTGACACCGTGTATTTTATTTCTATGATGAAACAATAATAAATAATTTTTCTAGCATTCATTTTTTTCCCATTATTATTCTCCTTCTTTAAACTGAAAAGTATAGTGTAAAATATATAAAGGAAAACTTTCTGATCTATATGATTAAAACTATATGCACTAAAAGTAAATATTAACTGTTTTAATAATCACAACATTCTTTATCATATGCAACGAAAAACAAATTTGTGGTATGTCCATAAAAGAAATGCATTAAGATATTAACATAATATTAAAGTACAGTAAATGTCCGAAATGACATTATTAAAAATATATGTAAATTTATTTTTGGCAACTTTGATTTAAAGTTTGTCTCTGTTACTAACTTCATGGTTTTATTTTCAATCACAAGAATGTTGTGATAGTTAAAAAATCATTTTTTTTAACCTGTTAAAATCTTCAATCATGTAGTGTTATAGGTAATACATGTTTACACTTTTACCAATGAAGACAGCATTTTATGGAACCTCAGTATTGATAAATAGAAACTATTTGAATGTACACAGGAATTTGATTTGAACAAAATAATATAACACACACAAAAAATTTCATTTACTTTCGTTGTATGGAAGTGAAATCAATTGTGTTAATTTAATTGTTTTCAAATAAATGAGAACTAGCAATAACAGAAAAATTGTAACAGATCAAAATAATAAGTAGAATGAATTTATACACTTGAAAAAGAGAAAGAAAGACATTAAAAAAAAGTTATTCTGCATGTGCTGTGAATACTGACATTTAGATTACGTATGCTAAATCATGGATATCAAATTATCCATGACTTAGTTTTGCTGTCTTAGGCAGTCACCTAAGACAGCCAAGTTCCCGAAAAGGAATTAATTAATGTGAAAGTATCACTTTAACACTGCTATTTTTTGTATACTACATACATATTCAAGGCATTCAAATGTACTAAAATCAATAAAAAAATGTTATATATGATGCAAATGATTTGATACTTCTGCGAAAAAGGCTCATTGAAGAAAAATTATAGTTCATAGCATAACATCTATATTTAATTTTGAATGATATGTGCTTGTACGTATTCTGCAAACCTAATTTCTAGGAGCTTGATATTATGTACTACATGCATTTGTATTTAGTCTTTGAAATTATTATGCATGAATAAACATACTTAGTAAAATAACTGACATCAAAAAAATAATTTATTCTTATGAGTTATATACATATAATACAATTTTTTCCCTATTTTTTATCAATCAGTACTCTGTTTGGTTTTCTGTTTTTTAAACTTCATCTTTTCATTTAAATAATCCTCTTTTTCTTCTATGAGATTTAATGCTGCTCTCTCAATATCACGTTTTCGCAATTTAGAGCCTGGACTTTGGTCTTCAAAAATTTTATCTGCTAAGCAGACACCATTTTTGAAATCTTCAAACCTGAAATTTTAAAAAAATAGTTAAAATATCCCATACTTTCAATAATCAAAAAATGAAATATGCAGATGAATTAACAGCATTATTGTATGATCAATAATTTAAACCCCTCAAGAACCAATGATGTACAATATTTACTTGTTCTCACCTCCTTCACAATGAAATGCTGAACTATTGGGTTTTAACTAAAGTTTCCCACCACCACAAATATCATCTGCACAAGAAGTTTGCGTTGCCATGTTTAATCCTATTTTGTCAAGCAATTTTTGGCATTTGAAAGAAAAAGACTTGCTAGCACTGTGTTGTGAAATATGTAAAAAAGTTATCATTATTATTAAGTACAAGATGTCTGAAATGGAACTATCATGCTACCAGATTAGAACCATCATTAATTTCCAGTTCTGTCGCAAAAAAATTAGCTACAGACTGGCACCAAGTCATGCATACAGCTTTAGGTACTAATGTTGTAACATATGACACTGTGAAGGTTTGGTACCAAAGTTAAAAAATCTGATGTGTATACCACAAGACTTCCTTGTACAGAATATTAAATTATACGCACTTTTTCTTGCATTTCATTTAAACTTATTGGATTGAATTAAATCCACTTCACCGACAGCGCATAAACCACAATAGAATAAATGCATTCTTTAAAATTCACTCTATTTGTTTACCATAGCGACACTCTGGCGCTAGGTTCACTTAACAGTATTATATTTCGTTCATATTATAACTCAGAATGCACAAAATTTATATCATTTAAAGAATTATCTAATCGCTGCCACATGTTCTATTCAAATGCTATAATAAAGCTAGAACAATGTATAAAAGATGTAAGCAAACAAAACAAAAAAGAAACAGTTTTTCACAGATGATTGAGTATTTCTCATTCAATTAATTCAGTTCTTATTTCACGACAAGGCAAAAATGCATAAAAACTCAAAATATCTGTATTAAAATTTACGAACTAAATCCTAAACACTTATTTCCTCGAAAAAATTCCAGAAAGGATTAAGCATTATTTAATTCGCAATAATAAATGAAGGCGTTATCTTTGCTGTTGCGAAGCTACGTTTCTCTAGATTGGCAACAAATCCACTATGCTGCTGTTTCAAATGCAAACAAGTAATAGCCGCCATCAAAAAAATTATTAGGCTTAGCGGCACTTAAAAACAACTTTAAATTGTTGATGATTCTAAAAATATTGCATACAGATTTACTAAAAACATAAAAACCTTAACCGGAAGATAAGAACAACATAATTCAATCATCTTTAAAGCAAAAAATGTACAATTTACAAACATATAAGAGTAAAGAAATTGAGATCACTGAGCCGGGTAACCGAGTGGACATATATACAAATATATTTATATACGTTTGGCGCGGCCGACTGCAACTAAAATATGATGTGCACTCAACCTTGTTACTCTGGAGTCTTCCCCGCCGTGATGGTATATAATTCCGTTTGGTTCATGTCCGTGGTCGGAAGCCATCATAGCGGTGCACTCACTCAGTAGTCCTACATACAAAATTTCAACGTTCTGAGGCTACTCATTTTTTAGTTATGCGAGATACGTATACGTACGTACATACGTTCATACACACGCACAAAAAAATTCTCTTCAGAATTCATTTTAAAGCAGTTTTATAATTTTTTTGGAGGAAAAGAGTCTTTTATTCTGTCATTACGTACATATCCGCAATCACGCAAAACATTGTTAAATTGCATTCGAAAGCGGTCAAAATGGATATTTTCGTTGAAATATGCTGCCTGAAACTTTTCGCGATTACAATACTTCCTTTTTACTTCGTACAAGGAAGTAAAAACAAGGAGAAGAAGAGCATTCTGGTTGGCCTACTGATGTTGATGAGGTTTGCCGACAAGAACTTGTGGAAGAAAGTAAGTATGCAACCACTCAAGAGCTTGCTAAGTAGTTAGACGTTAGTGCCACGTCCATTTGTCACGTTATGCATTGCAAAAACTTGATGTACAAATTCAATTGTTGGGTGTCGCATGGCTTACTTAAGCAGATAAGGATAGATTTTTTGGGGGGCCTGCATTAATCTCCTCAAATATCAACACAAGAGCAAAATTCTGGACTGGATCCCCACTTGTGATGAAAAATGGATTTACTTTAACACAGGCCAAAAAGAGGGTTGGTATGTGCCCAGTGAACGCGTCTGCATCGTCGCAAAATGCAATCTGACCAACAAAAAGACCATGTTTTGTATTTCATGGAATTGCCATGTATTATCCACAAAGAGTACCTGGGAAAAAGTAAAACCCTTAACTATAAGGTGCACAGAAAGATGGTCTATGTTGATGCTGCTTTCAAGTAAAAATGTTGAGCTGAGTTCCGCCATGAAAAAGATAATGTTCCATCAAGATAATGCAAGAAACCATTATCTGCATTCACCAGCTGGACTCTATATGGACTTGAATGAGATCTTTTTTACATCCACCATATAGTCCTGACATTGCTCCTTCGGATTTCTACCTTTTTTCACACCTGCAGTTACATCTTGTTGGTGATACCTTCCATTCTGCACAGGATATCCAATATTAGGTTGATCTGTTTTTGGACCCACAACCACCAAGTTCTGAGCCAAAGGCTTTGAACAACTACCAAATTACTGACAGATAATCATAGATTTGGGTAGTGATTACTACCTGCACTAAAGGTACTGCATTTATGTTTTTTCTAACTTTATTAAGAACGTTGTTTCCAGAAAACTTTTGTTACAACCAGATATTTCATATTCTCTATACTGCATCCCCACCTTTTTCTGTACATTATAAATTAATCTGTAACTAATGATACTAGAATACAGATAAAAAGCAAATCATCTTAATATTTAAAAAAAAAATAAGTTTTTATGACATTTATAAAATAATTGCAATTGTAAATGAGATCAAAATTATAATCTCTAGTCCAGAAAGTGAGGTTACCCTCCCCCCGCTTCATTTTAAATATATGAATAACATGTGCTTCAAGAAAGCTCATGATTTCTGTGTACCAATTTCACCCAAATTCTGCATAATTACAAAAGACAAGGCAAAAATATGTGTAAAAAGAAAATGTACACTCTCAAAAAAACAACACAGAAAATCAAGACTAAAATTCTATACAGCTTTCATATTGTTTAAACCTCTCTCTCAACCACAAGCACTCCTAATTTACTGCTATCACAGGAAGGTACTAACACAATGTCCTCACATAAATCTGGCTGCTGTTAAATATTTTTCTACAGCATTTTGAAATCTTTTGGTGATATTTTTAGATAAAATTTAATTTTAATTAATAATACTTATTAAATTAATTATTAAATTAAAAGACCAATAAGACTCACATACTTGCCAACCTATGACACTCAAAAATCAGGAGTTTTTCACAATGTTAAAAAGACTTTTTAATGATTACAAATATAGTTTTTTAATAATGAATTAACTTTAAGTAGTAAACTAATTCTTAAATGGAAGCAACACAAAAATACTTTACACATAAACATTTTTATTACTTGCATCTTTAAAAAAAAAAAAAAAAAAAAAAAAAAAAAAAAAAAAAAAAAAAAAAAAAAAAAAAAAAAAAAAAAAAAAAAAAAAAAAAAGACACTTTAATCAGTTTTTGTACAAATTTTATAAACAGTGGCAGATTTTGCTTTTGTTAAGAAAGAAACTTCATAATTTTGTTCACAGCAACTGCCATGCGGCCTGCTTTCACTAATAAAAGTTTTTCTAATGTGTCATCACTAATATTAGATCTAAATTTAGTCCTCGTTTTCACAACAACCCGAAAATCCTCTCACACTTTGCATTACTATAGGGAACTGTCAAGATGGCCAACATAATTCTAGACAGTTTACTATATTTTAAAATTCCATCAGCACCTTTCAGTTTTCCAATTAAACTCCACTGAGTGTCAATCCTAGCTGATTTTATAACTTCATCCAAGTTTTCTAATTGTAAACTGCAAAATTGCGACTGCAAGATATCAGAGGCAACATCAATATCATCATCTTTCATGACTAGATATAGTAACACAGGAAATCTGTTCAAAAAGTACCTTATATCAGAAAAAGAGGCACTTGCTAGAGCAAAAACATCAGCAACTTTAGCATGCAAAATCACTTCATCGTTGACTAAAAATTTATGTAGTACATAATCTAACTTCTAACATGAAGATAAAACTTATTTTTGTCTTCTGAAAGTTCTTCAACTACTTTTGTAGTTCCAGCTCCTATTACCAAATCTTCCTTTTTCTTCTGATTTTCTATTTCACCATAAATCACATCATATATAGAATTACAAGAAAAAGGCTCCAGTAAAAAGGCAGAGAACAGACATTCTGCATTAATAATGTTTTGGTCCTTTGTTTTTGAAGAAAAATTAAATTTATTTTTTTCAAAACAACTTATGTTGTCCTTGTGTTTTTGTGTACGCACATGTTTGTGAACATCCGTCCTTCCACAATACGAAATCGAAAAATCGCAACGACAGATGGTACAGATCACAAATTTATTACATTTCCTTGAGGAAATGAAAGGAAAGTCACCTGTGTACGATTTTTTAAACGTACACGAGTATTTCACCTTTCTCACAGACATAACAAAAGATGATAATTTCTAAAACTATTTCCTGAACGCACGTGTGTACTCAGACAACTCAGAACAAAATGAACGAAATAACTAAATAACAGCTTGCTTTGTCCTCATTGGCTAATATATGCCAGATGACACGCAGTGGAGCTCGACGTCCATTGGAGAACTGGAGAACGATGTTTCTGGATACGTATATGCTCTCACTCACAAAGCAGAAGTTATCCGATTCGCAAGGTTTTGTTTTAGATATAACCTAGAAAAAATTCAGTTGATTTCAGACGTCCAAAATCACCTTTTTTTTCTTTTTTCTTTTTTTTTTTTTTTTTTTTTTTTTTTTTTGTTTGTTTGTTTGTTTGTTTGTTCATATAACAAAGTATTAAGCCAAGTTCCATAAAAATCGTGAGAAATTTTAAGAATAAGAAAAAGTCGGGAGAAATATATTATAAATCGGGTTGGCGGGAGAGCAGTCAAAAATCGGGAGAGTTGGCAACTCTGTATACTATTGCACTGTTTAATGTTTGAAGCAACAGCAGCCATAAAAATTGAATCTCTTCTTGCTTAACCTGTAAGTTTTTAATACTGGAATCAAAGCTTAAATTTTCTTGATATGCTCTCTTTACATTTTGAATAACTTCTTGACCAATAGATTGAATTAATATCAACCAGTTCCTGTTAACTTGTTAAACTCACGTCTGATCAGCATTTTTACTTCTGAATGTGGCTAAATAAAGAAACAGAAATTTTGAACATCACCAAAAAGAAAAAAAGAAAATGGTTCAAAGATGTTAAGCAACTGCTGAGTCTTTTTAAATATTGCTAAATGAAATAGCAAACTTGCTGCAAAAATGTTGGTGAAAGGTACGCCACACCATCAGACCTTTATGGCATTCTTGAAATGGGTCACACATCTCAAACCGAAACAATCCACATAGATACATCGTTGATCTGGCCCCAACCTGGTGAATCATTATTTATTATACTTTCCTTTCACCACCACATGTTTATCAAAACAGGACAACTTGAGTAATGACTCATGTAACAATGCTTAAAAAAAATTTTATGGTAGTAATTGAATAATAAAGAAGTATGGTAACCTTTTAGGTTGACATTATGCTTCGCGATGATTACAGATTTAAGTTAAATGCACTAAAAAATGTTGACGAGGAAAAATTTACCCAAAATTTCTTTCCATATGCTAAAAATACATTTTGTTGATGATACTCATAGAGCCAAAGATTATATTTAGGGATATTTGAATTAAGGCTAACTGATTTGTTATTAACATAAACCCAGAACAGCTTGTATGGCCACACCGAGTCGCAGAATTTAGGACCCACAGAAACTGCATCAGGCGGTAAGATATCTAATGCCGGCCCTCAATAAGGATTAAGTATATGTGGGAATTTATTTATTCAGAACTCTGAAAAATCTTAAGCATGCGCAAGAAATAGACACAAATATAATAAATACAGTAATACAATTCAGCCTTAATTGTCTCAGTGCGGGATAGAAACACGATAAAATTTAATGGAACAACTTTTCGTTAGTCGCCACGCTCATGATGCATTGCCAAATATGTAGTGAAGGATAGCTAAATTTGATGTTGATAGCTGCTAATTTTAAAGGTTTTCGGATATCGCAAAACAAAGGTGAAATTTTCCAATAAACGGATTTTGTAAAGAAATGTGGAGAAGCGGTAATAAATGAAGATGATATAAAAGAAGTTTATTATTGTGATGACAATGCTTCTCGATCATAAATCAATCAATAAATGGCAAAATCTGAAGTATGGTTCTACATCCAGAAAATACCGCTACCGATAGTAAAGAAAGTGACAGAGAAGTTACTGAAAACAAGAAAATTTCAATTGGCAATTTAACGGAGTTCTCGAAACAAGAGTTACAGGACTCAAACAATGTAACTAAACAAGAGATTATGTCTGTCTACAGAATTTTAAAAAAAGTATTAGCACAAAAAACGAAGCAACTTACATTGAACGAAATGTTTAATAAGATAAACAAATACATATTAAGCTTTTTGTGTAAATCTTGATACCCTTTAGATCACTGACTTCAGATTACTAATGATCTAATATCCGGAATAGCTGAAGTCCTTACTTACAAACTTGTGAACATGGACATATGAACATGAATAACCTACAAACTTCTGAGCATGGTCAGTTGTTGTTATCAAGCATGTAAAGGAAAACCAATTAAATATTACTTATCACTTACTACAAGGATCTAAATTTTCCCCATGGAGTATATTATCTTATTTTGTGTGTATGTATGTGTATGCATATACATACATATATATATCAACAGAATAAAAATAATACATACTGTTTTACTATATTGTAAATAACTTTCAAATTTTTCTTTCGTAAAGATGGTTTCTTCGCAAACTTCAACAACAGCTGTTGCACTGATTCAGCATCGAACTGTTAACAGAAAATTTATCAAAACAAAATTTAATACAAACAGAAAAGAAACATAATTTAAGGCATGCAATTTCCATATTAACAAATACAAATAAAAAGGTGCATTCAATAAAAATTATTCCACATAATTTCTTTAAAATGAAATGAAAATTTTACAAATGTACATCACATTTAAATTGTCCACTACGAAGCTACAGAAAAAGAAGTTATCATAATGTTCTTACAGAAAAAGACAAAGCGACAACTACCATGAATCTCACCTCACTTTTCAGTGGCAAAGGATATAAGCTGTGAAGAAAACATTGACTCTAGCAAAAGACAAAACTTTTAACTAAAAATTCAAATTAGTTTTAAAGATTATGGAAACCCTGGAAGAAATACCAAACTAATGTAACAAGAAGAATAATCAACAGCCTGAATAGAACTTCTTAATTTCCAGCTCTTCTCATTAATGAACTCATAGTACAATGGTACTGCATAAAGACTATAAATTTGGATCCAAAGCTCATGATTTCTAAATTCGAATTTCAACTGTTTGAAAACTGGATGACTAATAAGTGCAACTTAACTTTTGCTCTAATAGGAAGTTAAGTTACTTCTCTGCTAAAACATTTGATACTCTATAACCATCTCTTTTTTATTTTTAAGGATTTATTATGAATTGGATGGAATCGACACGACTCGCCTCAATACCCCTAGATGGAGCCACGTGTCCAGCTTTAATTTTTACCAATTACCCACAGTGCACTCATGCTTATTTTCAAAAAATAACAACCAATGGCTGCAGAGCAAATATAATTTACCCACAATGGCTGAATACCTCAGCAACCCAGCGTGGGTTCTACAGTTCGAATCGCATGAACTTACACAAAGTACAATTCATGATGGAGCAACATTTTTTGCGTGCAACTGCCCAAAAATAAAGTATGAGAAAAAATGCTTGTCTTTGAACCAGGAGTTTATATAACTTTATATATTTTAAGACATTTCCTATGTTTATATTTAGTGCACATAAAACACATAGTGGTGGTGGCATATTTAATTACATAGTGAGACCATAGTAATGACACATTATGGAATTCTAGATTTTTAAATTCTTACTTTCTGCATTACTTTTACATACATAAAAATAAAATTTATCCACTTTTTTTCTTCAACTTTAAACATGCACTTCTTGTGTACGCTGTTAAATGTGGCTTTTTAAGTACATCTTTATTTTAATAATGCACATATATTAAAAGCTATCTATTCTACCTGTCTCCTTCAACTTAAAACATACACTTCTTATGTACACTGTTAAACATGGCTTCCAAGAGTTATGTTTGTTTTAATAATGAGCATATACTAAAAGTTATCCTCTCTAAGACAATCTCTTCTTAACAAAAAATTCTATGATGTATTGTGAGACCTTAAACAAACTATACTGTGCAATCTAAAACAAAAGACATGGCATACTAAATAGGGGGATTGTTTTGCTTCATGACAATGTCCATCAACACACAGCTAAACAAACTCAAGATCTCGTGTTATTTCACTGGGAACAACTTGATCATCTGTACAATCCCAATCTAGCGTGCAGTGACTACTATCTGTTCCTGCATTTAAAGAAGCACTGGGCGGTCTTTGCCTCTGTGGTTATGATGAAGAAGTCAAAATGGCCATGTTGCAGGGCTGTCAAAACAGGTGGCATATCTCTATAAAGAAGGGATTCAAAAACTGGTTGTATGATACGATAAATGCCTTAATATTGGTGGAAATTATATAGAAAAACAGACTGAGGTACAGGCCTTTCATACAAAAGTGAAATTAGTAACAAAATTTTACTTTTTTAAAAAAATTCTAAATCGTACTTTAAAAATATGCCTCATAATTTTGTTCATAGCAACTGCCATGTAGACCTACGAGTGATAATAAAATTTTCCATTGTATCATCACTTCATTGTGTCTAAATATAGGTCATGTTTTGAAAACTATACTGAACATTCTCCCACACTTGCCATTTACTGTGCAAAATTTCCCTTCGGAATGCACTAGACTTTGAAAATCCAACAGTACTTTTCAATTTTCTGGTCAGAGTTATTGAATATGAATAATGCTTTGCTATACTTTACAGCACAATCAAAATATAAGGTTTTATGTTTAATTTAAGACAGTTATCTTATTAGTTGGCCATTATTTTCACTTCATCAATTCCCATCAGAATTCAAATTAATATATAAAATAACCACGCAGTTTCTTGTGTTCAAAGAAAGCGGCAGCATAAGCTCACTCTGCTTCGTATTCCTATTGATTGAATTTGTTTATCAGCTTAAGATTCTGCAAGCTCCTTTTGCTTTACAAATATTACTTTTAAGGTCGAGCTAATGTTTATGCAATTTAGGTTGAATTTGCATTCCACATTTGGTTTTATTTGAGCATGTTTTCTGAAGTATCCAAATGTAGCAAAATCGGTTTCTTTAATACTTTTAAGTTTGCGTAACCATTAAGTTGACATGTTAATAAGCAATTTTTACTCTCACTCAGAATTGTAATACTTCTAAAAGTCAGAGCAGAGGACAAGTTGCCTGACAGTTCACCACACTCAGCATGTTAAAGTATTGAAAAACTATATAAGACAAAGCACAAACTTTGATAAAATGTTTTTACACAAATCACTGATAATTGGATGCAAAAGATAAATTACAAAATTCTTTCCTGCAGAACTGCATTAAGAACATTGAATGATGGCAAACTCAGGCTTAGGAGAATGCCCCTCCCCAAAAAAAAAACCTGTTCAGGTCAGATGACAAAAACATAATCGCGCTCCACAGGATAAACTTAAAGTCACTGGCAAATGTTTCTCTTTATTTATTTTGTAAGACTTCTACATCAAGGTTACTTTTTTCCTCCCCCCCTCTGAAAACTGGCAGTAAAGTTGCTCATTACTGAGGAATTTATTTTTAACAGTAGAAGTAGAAACCACTTTTCCATTTACTTTAGAAATGTTACACCTTTGAATGGAGCCTTTTATCAAAACTTTCCAAGCATTTATTTCTTACTTAAAAAAATTGGAGAAAAAGTTTCCACTGATTGAGGATTCTAGAGAAACTCATACGCACATACATATTTCAAAATTTTTCTTGCTTTAGTATTATGCACCTGTAGGAATTGTTTCAATTTTTCTTTCCCTTCAAAACTCTTCTGAAGATAGTAATAAATATGAACAATAAATTAATTTATATTTATTGGTAAAGAAGCTGCAGCTTTTTCAGCTGCTTAATTTTAAAGGACACAGGCAGACACTGTAATCTGCAAATCTGAGTTTTCTATTATTTAAGTTGCTTGCAACATTGGTTTTGAAGCCTACCATTACTTGTACTGTGTGCATGAGGAGCTAAACATCCATCCAAAGGAACTCCATTTTCTTTCAAAGTTTTAATAATTAGCTATGCTATACTAAAATTTATAGAATCTCTTTCCAAAGTGAGGACAAAAAGTATATTATATTCTATTTCTGAAGCTGTGGAACTAAAACTAAATAAACAATGACAGCGGTTCTAGGAAAGAAGTCCACAGGAAAAAAGCTCACGGGAATAATGCTCACAGGTATAAATGCTCAAGGAAAAAAGGTCACACAGAAATATGATCACATAGAAAAAAGCTCACATGGAAAAATGCTCAATTAGAAATATACTCACACAGAAGTATGCTCACATGGAAATAAGCCCACTGCTAAATAATTCACATAGAAATATCACTATATTAATGAATCAAGAATTAATTGATTTGAACATTGTACACCTACTTGAATTTTCTAAAGAAAAATTATTTAAATTACCAAAACATCTATGGTATATATTTAAAAAGCTTTATAATTTATGTGTAGATTCAGTTGCTACACAAGATTAACAAATGCGCCGTTTTGAATTAAAAGGAGATGGGAAAGAAAGTAAACATGAAACAGAATTATACAGTAAAAATTATTACAATTTAATTGTTAAAAAAAAAATATAAGTTACACATTTTATATATAAACATTAGAAGAATAATGAATAATGATGAGATTTAGAATGACTAGTTAATTAAGTAAAATATTTAATTTTATCATCGATTTCATAATGTTTTTACAGGATTCACGATTAAATGTAAGTTTTTCATGTTTTCTTTTTTTTTTATCCGTAATCCTGTTTTACATAAGCTAATAACAAAACGGGAGAGGCAAATTTTTTTTCAGCCCATCAAATAAAAAACCACACACTGAGATGGTTACAATTTAAATAATGAATTTAGGTTATGAGAGTTAGCAACAATTTGTGGTTTAGGAGATTTTTCGAAGGCTGCTTCATAAGTTCAACTGACGGCATCATCAAAGTGCATAAAATGTAATTTATTTTTAAAATTTAAATTTCTGCAGAAATTTTACAACTTTTTTAGCTCAAAACTTGAATAACTACGTTCAAATATCAATTCTAGATACATAAAAAGTATGCAAAAATAGAGTAAAGAAAAAAATTAATTATTAGGAGTTAAAGGAAAAATGTGGTACAGGGGCATGGAAAAATATTACAGTACATGCAAAATTTTACTACAGTTTCATGCTTTTATTTATCACACCTGAAAAGGTTAATGTGAGCATTTGTCCATGTGAACATATTTTGTGTGAGCATATTTCTAATTGAGCATTTTTCCATGTGAGCATTTTTCCATGTGAGCTTTTTTCCATGTGAGCTTTTTTTCTATGTGGGCATATTTCCTTGTGGGCATTTATACCTGTGAGCATTATTCTGTGAGCATTTTTCCTGTGGGCTTTTTTCCTGTAGGCATTTTTCCAGTCACCAATAACAGCATACCGTTTTGAATCAGTATTACTGCTTCCACCTGTATAAATATACAAGGAGATATTTTAATGGAATCAACAACTGAAGTTTGATTTTTTACATCCATTACTTTAACAACTACGATTGCTTTTGTTCTTGCGCATGGGAATTTCTTAATGATTTCAATATCAGGAAAAAATTTTCTAAATAATACTACAGCATTATCAGAAACATTCATCAGAAGACTGTGATCAACACATTCTAGTTTCCACAGGAAATTAACTTTTTTTTCAATAGAACTTACACTGTCCTTTTGTTTTTATATGCCCATATGTTTTAGTACATTGGCCCTTTCACCATGTAAAATCAAAAAATCGTAGTGACAAATGGTACAAATCACTAATCAATTACATTTATTATGCAACACAACGAAAGTCATCCATATATATTTCATGAAAAGTACATGAGAATTTTACTTTTTTCATAATTAATTGACATAATTTTACTTTTTTCACTCACAATGCATTGCCACAAAAAGAAACATTCTCTAATGTGACTTTATTCTTGAAGAGAAAATACACAGTGGATTCTTTATTCACATTTTATATTTTTTAATCACTTAAAAATGAAAAGTTTTAAAACTTTCACATTAACCAAAAGACAAACAACAAATAAGTATTCATCCCTGTAATAAAATTCATCCCTGTAATAATTAAATAAGTATCCAAATAAGTATCCATATTCTGCTTTATAATTGTAACAGCAGTTGCTGGTTGCATGCCACAGTTTGGCAAAGGTTTTATGACAACAGCCAATAAATTCATGAAATTAGTTAAAGTATGAGCAAACCAATCAACAAAAATTTAATAAACTGTCTATTACACTGCTGGATTCACCCCCCAGGCAAAAAAAAAAAAAAAACACTTTCCAGTGAACACACTATAAAAGAAAGGGTAAATATTTATCTATGCCATCTACTACATATGTTTGCTTTGCTTCGCAGTTTCATGTAATAAACTTTAGAAATGGCCCACACAAAACAGGAGAATAATGAAGTTTGTAAAGTAATTAAAATATGATACTGAAAATAGACAAAAAAGTTAAAATTTAAATTTATTAGTTCTCCTTTAATGATGCTCCCAAATTTTAATACTTAAATTAATTTTAAGTAGTTAGAACTTGAGAATGAAAAGAAAATACCTAACCCTATCAGAAAGCACTTATTCCTGATCTTTGTTGTTATTGAAAGAAGAATCAAGGAAATTAATAACCAATATGAACATGTACACAAGCTTACTTCTGTGCTTAAGAAGTTACTCAGAATAATCAAAAATATTCACTACATCTTCAAATAATCTTTTGATTTAAAAAATAATGTCTATAAAAGTGTGAATAAATTTACATACACTGTGTTTACAAAGCACTTATCTGGGCTTTATTTTTGTATCCACTGGTTATAGGCAATTAGTTCCAGTAATAAAAAAATAAAAATGTTTCAAATGCTGCAAATATTAATGATTTGTCATTAAAAAAATCAATTTAGTAAAAATTATAAAATTTAGTATTTTGTATGGGCCCCAGATCCCTACAGTTATATTAAGGAAAATTTACAAAAATGTTCATTAAAACATAAAAAGTTTGATTCTATATGACGCATATTTAATTTTAAAAACCAAAATCACATGCAGATACCATATACAATCTGAAGACAGAAATGTTTACATTTATATATATAACTAAAATATCCTCATAAAAAAAGGTTTCTGTTGTTCAGAACAAATAACAAACATTTCTGCATAGATTGTTAAGATACATGGATTATTAGTAAAATTTTTCAAAAAGGAAATCTTATTCACATAACCTTACAGATCTAGAGTCTAAAAAACAGTTTTAAGTTTGGCAGCTTCAGTTTTGGCACATAGCCAGTTTGGACCATCATTTGCATAAATTAAAAATGAAAAATATTTCTAGTTTGATGAAATTTTAGAATTATGAGATTATAATTCTAAAATTCTAAAAGTGAACTTAATGAGAATATTAATAATGCAGTCTTCAAACTAGAAATCTTATGAATTACATGTGTAAACATTTTTTCAACATACAAATTACAATAAAACTATAAATTTAAAAATATTACATACGGATACATCACAAATTATCACTGCATGACATTTAAGAAGCAAAAAACCAACCCAGAATTACTGAAATTGAATGTATCAATGGATCTCCCATTGCAAATCTAAAATGACATCAAAAATTCCAAATTTTGAAATTACACATCTTGGTCAATATTTGTTGCATGGGAGTCAGACTTTTTGTGTTTTAGTTTCCATAATGAGTATGATGTTTTCCTAAATATAGCTATTTGGATCAAGGACAACACGAAAAGTTAACTTTTGAAATTTGACAAAACAGATTTTTTTCAAATTTAAAGATGCCAAAATGTATATATTTGCATCATTTAAAACATTTTTATAAATGAAAGCATATGTCTACCACCAATGGTTGTGAAAATAAAGGCTACATAAGAATTTCTGTGGATATAATGCATAATTTCCTTATAATTTGGATAAATGAAACATGTTTTGTTTCCAGAACTGATACCTTAATAATTAAACTTACTTTCAGCGCAGGAAATTCATGAAACTTCCGTTCATCTGCATCCTGGTTTATAAGATAGAGAAATATATTTTTGGCCACATCACTGAGATAAGAATAACTATAAGGGGGGGAAAACGTATAAATATTCAATGATAAATATGAACATCAAGTTTAAGAATTATTAACAGTGGTACAAAAGTATCACTATTGGTACCATAAATACAAAAGTTACCATTTCAAGCTATTACCGATGTTGCAATGAGAGAAAAATGCCGTTTTCCTCTTATTGTAATACAAATAATAAGTGAAAAACCAATACAATAAATATAATTTAATTCAATTTCTACATATGTTTTATAATATTAAAACTGGAGTATCCCTTCCTCACCTCAGTAGTTGAGGTATCAATATGTGTATTATGTGGCACTAACACACTTGCCAACCTACTACACTAAAAACTCAGGAGATTTTTTTAAGAAATCAGGAGATTTTTCTCAATGACTAAAAGATTTTTTAAATGATAAAAATGCTTTTAATAGTGAATTAACTTTAAATAGTTACTAATTAATATCTGAAAATCCAGTTACTAATTCTTATATGCAAATGGTATAAAGATAATTGCATGCAAAAAATACTTTTATTATTTGCACCTTTTAGCAAAAAAATAATGCTTTAATCAGGTTTTGTACAAATGCTATGAACAGTGGCAGGTTTTTCTTTCATTAAGAGAGAACCTTCATGATTTTGTTCATAGTAATTGCCACGTAGGACTGATTTTGATAATAAAAGTTTTTCTAATATTTCATTACTAATATTAGACAAAAATTCAGTCCTTGTTTTCACAACACTAAATTCCTCTCACACGCTGCATGTTCAGATGGCAAACATTATTCTAGACATTTCACTACACTTTAAAATTTTATCAGCACCTTTTAGTTTTCCAAGTAAACTCCACTGGGTGTCAATCCCAGCTGGTTTTATAACCTATTCCAGTTTTGTAACTGTAAACTGCGACTGCAATTTTTACCAGTTCCAACATCAATATCATTGTCTTTCATGGCTAAATGAAGTAAAACTGGAAATCTATTTAAAAAATCCTTATATCAGAAAAAGACACATTTGCTAGAGTGAGTAAAATCACTTCATAGTTGATTGGAAATTTATGCAGTATGTAATCACATACTCAGCAGAAGCTACACAGCTTCTAACGTAAAAATAAAGTTTATTTTTGTTTTCCTCCAAAAGTTTTTCCAATAATTTGTGAGCTGTAGCCCCTATTAACAAATCTTTCTTCCGATTTTCAATTTCACCATAAATCACATCATATAAAGAATCAGAAGACAAAGACTGGTTTTACCAACTTTGATAAAATGTCTTAAATATGTCTTAAGTTCATAAATCATTGATTGCAAAACATGAATTAATAGTATCCTACTTTGTAGAACTAAGTGTTAAGAACATTGAATGTAGGCAAAATGAATTGTACAAAAAAGCAAAAGGCTTTGTTAAGGTCTGAAGAAAAAACACAAATATTTGTTCTTCAAAAGATAAACATAGATTAGAGTAATCGGAAAATTTATCCCTTGCTCAGTCTTTTTTTTTTTTTTTTTTTTTTTATTTTATTTTCAGAGAAATTTGTATCAGTTTTATGCTTATGTTTTGTAGTATTATTTTGAAAACTGCCAATGAAATTGCTCACTGGTGCAGAAATTACTTTATTTTTCTCAAACCTAATTTTAACAGTTGAAGTATGTAACTAGATCTCCATTTGCTGTTAATATTTTATAACTTTCAATAGAGCCTTTTATCTTTACTTCTTCTTTAAAAAATGCAAAAAATGGGTGAGTGAGTGAGAGTGAGAGATTATGGCACAAAACCAAAGATGATTATAGCGCGCGAAACACGAGATGACGATTACAAATGATGAAATTAAAATACAATAGTTAAAAACAAGTATACTATACCAAATCCAGAAGATGAAGTCATATAAAATTAAGTTAAAAGCATATAAGAATATTCAAGACACAGTCTTCAAAACAAATTACATTAGATGATAAAAGTCTGTCTCTTTAAGGTAAAAAAATTGCAAGTGACCTCTCTTCCGATTAACCGGTTGAGAGGTAAGTCAGTACTAAAATATTCTGCGAAGACTATTAAAACATGGACACTCAATTAAAATATGAACGACAGAAACAACAGACAATTGAAGACAGCTCATTTTCAGTTGAGGAGATAGTATGTGTGACTCTAGTATGACCAATTCTGAGGAGCGTCAAAAGAACTCCTTACGATTTCCGCAAATCCAATGCTCGTTCATATTGCTCAACTTGTTGTGATGCTGAATCCCAAATTGTTGCCATTTTTTTTTTCGGACCTTTCCTTGAGACACACCAGATATCTCTATAAGGATGGGCGAGGACAGGTCACAGAAGATTTTGCCGCGATGTGTGAAGCTCATTCCCTTTATCCCGTATGCCGGGACCCAGCGTACAGGATTTCATATCCAGACTCGTCAAGTTATATGTTTTTTAGGGACATCCACTTTACAGAATTTGAGTGTTGGAAAAGCTTCCAACGATTTAAGAGCACTATATGAGTCTGAATAAACTATGGACGTTTTGTGGCAGAGCTTTGAGATATACAACAGACAATAATATATTGCAGTTAGTTCAGATGTTAGGACTGAAAAAGGCAGGGTGCAGACATCTGCCCTCTAAGTAATCTTCAAATACAAATGCCATCTTGACATGATCATTTGATTTGGATCCGTCTGTATATATTGGGTAATAACTGCAATATTTGTGCCTGTGATCAGCGAAGAGTTGTCTGTAAATTATTTCGTTGGTATTTTCCTTCACGTGATGCTTGAAAACATTAAGAAGCTGAATTCGTACATTTTCTCAAGGTGGGATTTCAAAGTTCTGCACTGCTTGGGGGTGCATATCAGAGAGAGAAAGTTCTTCAATGACAGGGCAAACTTTTAAAGGGAAGGTAGGAACACAGGATGGATGTGTTTCAAATAATGACTTGCACACATTATCAAGTAAGCACAGCTTAATTGGGATGTTCAGGATTGGGAGTAGAATATTAAAAATAATTGCAAATAGGGACAATTGCTGCTCACGCCTCAGGATAAAGTGATGGTTCATTGGAGTCAACATACAGGCTCTGGACATGAGAAGTCTTGAAAGCTCCTGAACAAATCCGCAGAGCTTGATGATGAACAGGATAAAATTTTAACAATACTGATGACCGAGTGGATCCGTAAACCACTGAGCCATAGTCCAGTCTAGAGCGGACAAGCGCTGTGTAAATGCTAAGCATGGAGCAACGCTCTGCACCACAGGAGGTGTTCGCCAATACTTTTAAAATATTTAGTGTTTTTAAGGTTAATTTAGTGTTAGTTATTTCTCAGGGACTGAGAAGGGAAAGCAATTTTGGTCAACGTTACTCCTAAAATTTACTTCGGACGCAACTGGAATAATTGACCATTCATATAACTCAGGCTCAGGATCAGACCTTCTTCGAAAAGTGTACGCACACAGTTTCTGTTTCGAAAAAGTAAATCCTGTTTTGACCATTCTGGATCGTATTCAGAGCATCTGCATTGCCCTCTATGATCTCAGTCTGACCTCGACAGCTAATCTGTAAATCATCGATATATAGGATCCCAAGATGGGGAGGAAGTCTTTAGTACAAGGTTTTTTAAAATGAAAGGGTTACACTAAGCACAAGCCTTGTGGCACATCTTCCTGTTCAAAATATCTGACAAAACAGAGCCAATCCTTACTTGAAAAGTTCTAATATTCAAGAAATTCTGAAGAAAAGTGGGGTTGCCGCGCAATTCACTCTCGTGAAGATCCCGAAGTATACCGTATCTCCATGCCTTATCATAAGCTTTCTCAATGCGAAGAATATTGAGACAAGGTGCCTTCTTCTTACAAATGCTTTTCGAATGGATGTCTCTAAAAGGAGCATGTTATCTACGGTCGTTCTCCCCTTTCGGAAACCGCTTTGATAAGATGATATGATATTATTTTTTTCCAAGAAGTAGACAAGGCGGCTGTTTACCATCTTTTCAAACAGTTTGTATATGCAACTGGTAAGGGCAACTGGCCGATAGTTGGAGGGATTCCTTGGATCTTTCCCTGGCTTAGCAATAGGAATTAGAACAGCTCTTCTCCATGCACTGGGAAAGTATGCGCCTTCCACACGCTATTGTAAAGAGTTAGAAGGGCAGTCAGTGACTTTAGGACAGAGTTTAGCATTTCGTAATTCAGCCATCAAGACCAGAGAAGACCTATTGTCTGTAACAAAGCTCTCTTTAACTCAGCACATAAAATCTCTTTATAAGGCTCAAGTTGGAAGAGTTGAAAGCGATGGATTTTTCTCAGAGCGTTGCTTGAGAGAAAGAAATGCAGGGGAGTAATTTCGGCTGGAAGAACGGCAGCAAATGTCTCACATAGTATTCACAATTTCTTCTATGGAGCTAATCACTCGGCCATCTTTTCCAAAAGGAAAGTGAGTGGTCCTTATATATCCCGCATGCTTTTCTGACTCTCTCCCAAACTCGCTTACAAGGCGTAGAGGATGTTATGATGACACATAAAATCCAGGAATCCTCTGGCTCTGCCTCCTTACTTTTTGTGCATTTGCTTTGGCTCTTTTAAATGCCATCAGGTTTCGCAAAGTGGGTATCTACGAAAAATTCCCCATGCTTTTTTCTGTTTTTCAGTGCTTCATGACGTCGCGATTCCACCACGGTTTCGAATATTTCATTTTTTCCTGAGTTCTAGGAATGGAGAGCATAGCTGCCTGATAATAGCAGTTGTAACAGCTTCCACTGCATCATCGATAAGCACATCTTCTACCATGTTCCGTATGAGCTCTGCAGAGGAAGAGAAGAGTTCCCAGTCTGCCCTATCCAGTATGAACCGAGGAAGTCTCGACATGGGGTTCGCTCCTCTTCGTGCAAGAGACAAGACAATAGGATAATGATCGCTGTTGTACAGATCACTTCCAACACTAAAATTGCAAAATGGCAATAGAGATGGTGAACAGATGGCTAGGTCAAGAGCGTGGAATGTCCTAGAAGGCTCATGGAAGTCAGTTTCCTGCCCATTATTTAGGAGACAAAGGCTATGATCTTCAAACATTCGCAAAATTTGTCTTCCTCGGCAATTAGTATCTTTACTACCCCAGAGCGGACGATGGCCGTTAAAATCTCCTATTATGATCAAAGGCTCAGGCAGCTTCTCTATAAGACCATTTAAATTTTTCCGATTAATGTGCTCATTAGGAGGCAATTAAAGAGAAACGACTGAAACTACAATATCA